TTTTACGGGATTCACAATACAACGATCGATACGCTGTTTTTCGTAGTGACCGAGCCTGCAGATCCTGGCGTAGACATTTTGATCGAAAGTTGATACGATGCTGTGCATCAAAACCTGATATAAAAAAAAGGTTATTGCTTTTAATATGTAAAATTTCCATTAAGTTATAGATATTTTAATATAAACTTCACCAGATTTATGTGCTTGCGTTGAACTACTAAGATATAGAAAAGAAAAAATAAGACAAAGAATGTGTGACTCTTTCTTTCTTTCGCATAGTATTTATAGACCGGTCCTATTTCCGTAACAGTGCAGTAATAATATATTCGCCTGCTAAATATCTAAATATAATGTAAAAATAAATGCTAAATAAAATGCAAAGTCTTGGCCTGAAAGCCAGAGGAAACATTCTTTGCTTTATGCTAGAGACCAGCCATCTGAAGCAATGCTGAACACCAGTACAGAACGTAAAAGTCGAAACATTTTGTCCTGATAGACTGATCAGAATTTGTAAATGATTTTATTTTCAAGGCATTGCCTAAATGTAGCTCCAAGCTCCAATAGCAAGAGGGTCTTTTCGGTAAATTTGTGCGTTGAGTTTGCGACGGCCGTGTTCAATCTTACTGACTGAATAACCTATACTAATGAATTGACATGGTTTATCCTGCCGAGACAGCCGGATCGTTGATCTTCCACTAATCTTCGTAGCACATAATTTGAAGCCATCGATTAAATGAAATCGTCAACATAATTCAAATGGTAACGAATGTAATTTTTAGAAGAAGATCATAGTGATCCGTTGTGTTTGTTTTTCTTTAGTAACGTTTCTCACTTCGTGGATTAAATAGGCTTTGTAACTCTGTCAATTTTTTAGCTTTAATATTTAGTATTATCTAGTAATAGTAGTAGTATCATTAAATATAAAACTAGATAAGCGATATATAAGCATTTTCTTTCTAGCCCTGCTACACGACATAGGTTCATGTTCGGTATAGCTGCGCGCAATAAAAAATAACCTGTAAAGTTTTTACATGTTTATATCAACCATTCCAACTTTCTGGATATAAACACACAAGAATCAGCCAGAGAATATGTTTATTTCGCAAAGTAGCCAGACAAAGGTGATGTTACAAAGTTGGCTTTTTTAAGTAAGTTGCTCATTCATACCTGTGCTAGGATGCGATACTTCGGTGTGTTTATGTAAAGCTCCAAGTATGACTAAAAGGTTCACATTGCGAATCACCATAGCAGCCGGGTTCAACTCTGACCAAACGCGTGTGGATTCATTCTGCAGATGCGCTAAACGCTGTTTCGTCCGGAAGGCACGTCTGCCTTTATTTTTCCTGATTTAACGCGACTAGTCTTTAGCAAGGGGTTGTTGAACATAGCTTTGTTACGTGTTGACGTTTATAATCGCCAGGCCGTAAGGTACGCCTAATAAATAACACAATAACCGTATGTGTCCAAAATATACAGTTCATTTACTTTTGTTTACACTACAGATTCAATCTGGCCTACAGTATGCCACTACGAATGATTACAGCCATAAAGTGTAATAGAAACTACAAAATGACCATATTTTCATCGACAAATAGTAGCCCCCTTTACCAGTATGTTAAACATTATTGTTATTGAATATTACTATGTGATATGTTTATCTGCTGTGGCAACATATCCATATGTCCTTTTATCCGTTTTCACATTTAGTCATACGCAAGCACATACCTGTTTAAAATAGGACTTGGCTAAATAAAGCGATTCTGTATATATAGCATACAGAAGATTTGTAAGTTTTGAGCATCTTGTTCCGGGCGGAGAAGTTTTACGGAAAATCTACTGAACACAGAGCTAGAATACCCGTCGGCAAAAACCAACACCGTAAGAAATTCCATATATTTTTGTTATCGATAGACCCTGGACGAATGGCTTAGGGTTGTTCGCTCCGTACTTCCTCCGGATACTGAATTGTATTTATCGTTCAACTCTTTGCTAGCTAAGTCAAGTAGAACCGGCTTTACTTTGCCAAGATAGCTGTCCTATTCTCACGATGAAACCTTGCTTGCTATTAGCTCAGACATTACGATGCATCGGAGTTTGATTCAGCCATACGCCGTCAACGAGACCAGACGCCCGCTCCCGTAGTTATGAATGCTAATTTTTGTCAAACTATGCCTCGAAAGATAAACGAGTATGCGCAGCGGTGATTCCTCATGGTTACTCTAGCCTGTTTCACAACATATAATCCCGGGCTTGAACTCAGTGTAGAAAATGGAATTTTAAAAAATCAAGTTTCGATATTTTCTGCCAGTTAAATTCAATTTCATCTTGGCATAACGGTTGAATGGTAACGAATAACACAATAACGGCTTAAATACAATGGGAACATGGAATATTTGATATAGAAGAATGGGGCATTTGTTATAAGATGACTGGATCATTGGAACACGACAATAAAATCTCACGAAGTTCTCTCAAGAGACAGAGGCAAGGTCATTGAATTATTAAGGTACTGTGATTGAACAACTGGACTAGCGTAATATAACAAAACATGGGCGTAATTAAATCAGTCGAGCGATGCATGGGGCTCTTTAAACAAAAGGTGGTCGGAGAAGTACTCAGTCAGTCAGTCAGTCGGAGAAACGTGCAACAGGACCGCCAAGATAGCTGGAATAGAGTAGAAAATATAGTTAAAGCAAATTATGCATGGCAAAGATAGTGGCATCGGCTTCAGGTCTGGCCGCGTGAAACATGCCTTGTGTTACTTGTGCGTATTCCCATGTGTTACATGGGAAAATTAACAGAATAAGCTTATATATAAGCTGCAGAAACGCGGCATGCAATGTGTACCTTTGTGCACGATTCCGGCTACTCATTGGTAAACATAGACCAACGTGACAAACGTTTGGCGTATATTATACGGCTATTACATAGGTAGAGAGGATCGAACTAGATCTTACAATAGCGTGCATTGGCCAATAATGCATCGAACATTTTCTAATTTAATTTATCCTCCTCTAATAAAACAAAATACCTCTTCTCTAAAGTGAAATATTTAATATTTTAGAGTGAAAAGTATCTATTCATAGTGTGAGACGTATGAGCGGTTTTGGGTCATAGGTCTGCAAGCGGCTGACGCATGGGTTACCCCAAGCTTTAACTACGGTGTAGAATTATGTTAGGCCAAACTATCAGAAATTCATTGTGTTCATGTTTTTTTTTTAAACATTGCTCGGCTATTCAATAATATGTGTCTCAAGACATCGACCACTTTACCGAGATTGGTTCAGATATATACGTGTCTTCGTACGCCTCTCTTAACATTGATACAAACCTGACTTTAGTTTGTAATCAGGGACGACCGACATAGTGATGGCCTCTTTTCTAAAATGAATAACAATATCTTTCAGAAGAATTATCTAGAGTACGACTATTGTTGCTCAATAATGTCTAATAATTTTATATAGGAATATAAATAAGAAACGATGGTCCGATATTATTTATAATGTATATTTATGAGGGTCAATTCTGGAGCAATTGTCAAATTGATTAAACAATCGTTGCTGGCTTCTTTAGCAATTGCTTGGGCATCTCTTGCTGAGGCCGGTGAAATGGGCACCCGTACGTTTTGAGCAAATTAAAGATGCCAATTTCGCTCACTCAAACGCTGAATGTCGCTTTTTCGAACGAAGCAGTGATGCAGACTATTACCAATGCGCGACATTCCCATAATTAGCCAAAATAAACCAGTTCGGATTGTCAGCTATTACCCCAGATAACCTCGAAGTTAAACGATACCTTACATGATACCCCGACTCAATTGTTGTCCTAGTTAACTTCAACAGAAACCAGATGTAACATTCACGTTACAGGATAAGCTTTCCGTATCATTGAAATTAACTAATCTCGTCTCGTGAATTTCCTATCTACAAAATTTCTCGTGTAGACGTTATTAATTAATAACGTGCCCCATATGATCTGCTCAATTGATCAAACAGAAACTATCTACAAGAGCTTGTATGCACAAGGCCAGAGCACGCCATTACTAGCGAAATAATGCCTAATCCAAACAGAATCTGGAAACCCAAACAAACAAAAAAACAGCCCCCTATACAGGTACCGTCCGACTTCCGTAACTATGGCATCAGCAAAAACATAAATAAGCAGGGGCCCCTAATTGCTATCACCCCAAAAAGAAGAAAACCACTGCGTCGTGGTCATTGCAGGTTATTCAAGCGAATCTCAGTATGGCGAGTAAAGCGGAAACTGCCCGTTGCTCATTTGGAGCTGGATAGCTTTTTACTTTTTACGGTCAGTTTTTCGTGACGCTAGAATCATTTTGCCCCAAAACGTATAGCTACATCATAAGCACGCGCCAAATTTGACAATGGCCTTCAACGCTGGAATACGCAACGGTCCCGTCCGACTGGGTGGGGGGCAGTGTAGCTAGCATTATTATTGTTGTGTCTGATGTCGAAAAGGAACAGCGTATACCGGATAATCCACTCGAATGAAATTATCCTATATTTTATCGTTAAGTGTCTTCATAAAGTAATGTCTAGGGCATTCTCACTGATGCGGCCCATGTATAAGTATCAGTAATTAACACATACGATTACATATCATTAGACTGCAAACAACAGACGCTACTGTCATATTAAACGGAGGTAAACAATACGACGAAGCAAAGAACAAGACAGGGTGTTATTTACGCGACGTGAGTGATAAAATGTCGTTTTTCAAAACGAGCCAGGCCATCATTCTTTACCCGTTATTCTTCTCTCCTTACCTATAGCTGCCAGCAGCGTACATTCTGAATACTCTGAATATGTAATGAGGTTCCTACGTTCAAAAAAATGTAGCTTATTCTTATCGTCGTCTGATCCAGACAACTTTCTCTGTGAACGCGCTTTTCCACCATTGAAAAGCAGGTGTAGAAGATTTCTCAAAATACGGAATCTCACCATAACTTCTACATTTGTTTCCACATCTTATCGTTGCAGAAATAATGTAATTCATAAGCGATGCGAAGGCCCAACAACGGAAGTACTTTTCTACATCATATGGATTCTTGGAAAACGGAAGAACGGCGGGAGGGCTCGAATGGCCCGAGACCCTGTATGAAAAGAGATCAAATCACCAAAACGGCAAAGAAGGAAATAATAATAATTTGAGCGTGTCATGCTCTTCTTCATGTCATTCAACTCATACGAGGAAATTACGTCAGCGGGCGTCTGCCCCAGGTCGGCCGAGACTCCGCTATCGCATCAAATGTCGTTGTATCGTTATATACAGATCTAACAAAGACCCCTGGGGCTTTTCAGTTGTGTTCAAATAACCCGTATGATGTGTTTGCATTTAAGGAAATGTCGCCTTGTTCTACGTCTGGGCATAACCTATCCACAAATAATACTGCGAAATAGGTCTCGTGATGCACAAAATTCATATTCAGCTACCAGCTGCTTCGCGGATGGCCTGGTTGGACAAAATCGATGACTGCTGGTTCCATAAATTATTAAATAATGAGTAAATAGAATCGTTTCGGGTTTTTTTCCAACTTTGCTCTGAAGTCACCCGGAGTCGTAATGTATCGCCCATTGTATACTGTCTATATCGGCATCAAAGCGATTTACGTTTATTTTGAGGTAGTAACAGGAGTAGGATTTGTGCTGGTCGAACGCGGCTATATAATTAGTTGAGACGTGAACTCAAAATATTTACATACCGTCGATCATATCAGAAGAAAAGAACCAGGGGTCATTGATTCAGCTATAGCTAAGTATTGGGTTATGAGAAGGTAATAGTTAATTTTGTTTATTGCTTATTTCGTCCACCAGTTATAGGGTGTAGTCCATACTTCATGCTACAGTTACCTGTGAAGTATTTTTCCATAAAAGAGTTATTTTTAACATCCCATTAACAAAATCATATGGAGCTCGCTGGATAGTAAATCATAGTAGAATAGTTTATCTGGATACCTGCTCCCACCAAGTTTTAAATTGACTGACTTCTTCGCACTGAACATGCAAAGTACATAAACTACAAACTTAAAAACTTAAATATTTATGCTGTCAAAGTAGAAACAGTAGGTGGGATGGGACCGTATTCACTAACTAACAACTAATAACAGGGTGTTCATACGACCAAAACTTTCACTCGGCGAATGCTCGAAAGACCAATACGTCAAACAGAAAAAGTGACGTTTGAAGTTAGTGCGTTAGGTCATTTTTACGTAACGTGTTTTTACGTTTACGTCATTTTTATTCACTGTTTCGCCTTTCTAATTTTTTTATTTATTTATTTTAAGGTTGAAGCTAAAAAAAAAGTTGAAAAACACCCTTTGCTTTCCTAGTCTCGTTTGAATGGAAAAATACTTCGAAAATGAAATACGGCTATTGCACGTAGATGCACCTGATAGTTTTCCGCTTCCAGAAAAGGGCGATCCTCATCGGCCTCGCAAAATCTGGATCAAAGCGGTCATTTTCTAACATTTCTTTCGAAGCAAATATTTTCTTTGTTCACACAGATTCGACAGTATTTATGTAGTAGCTCAAGCGGCGAAAAGTCCGATAGAAAAGAAGCCATAAGTAAGTGCTTAAAGTCTAGCTAACGGTACAATTATAGGGTTTTTATTAATAAACACAAATTGTGCCGAATTTGTGCTTATTTTAACCACAAACAGGCTTTTACTGCCATGCTTACTGGTTAACAAGAAACAATGTGACAATCGTTACCCAATTTGTTTACGTCATCTATTTAACTTGCTTCGAACTCGTCATTTGTTTTTTTTATAGCTGTGACCCGTGTGTGAAACCGGGTGTACGCCTGTTAAGTGAACGTGGTAGAATCTGTATTGTATAAATAACAAAGCTCTTCTTCGCTGAAGAAGTGCGTAGTCTGGCCTGCTATTTATATACAATATAGAAGGAGAAACTCGGCCAGATAGTTAAGTTCCAGCATTAAGTAGTACGTAAAAATAACTTTGTATCAATATGGAATGTCTGACTTCAAATAACCATAAGCTATATAACCATCTGGACTTTTCTGACGTGTCTGTAACGGTTAGCTACGTAGCTAACAACAACAACGACGTGACCTACTTCAACTTCCACCAGTAAAACTTGCGAAACACTCTTTAAGAACTTTCTAATTGCTCTGAATTAACACACATTTTGTAGTATATACAGATGGCGCTGTTGTGTCAACGGGAAGCGCGTCGTCTTAAATGTATGCTTCCCACAGATAAGGCGTATTTACTTTGCTTTGTTTATTCTACCCCCACTTCATAAATAGACAAATACAGTGATTTTTTTTTGCCCACATCGAACTGTCCTTCAAGCTGGGCGAAGTCAGAACGTAAACGATAAAGGGCTGGCTCGCTGTATCAACCTGCCTTTCTCATTAGCCCCATTACCCCTTTCGGGTTTCCACCTTTTGAATGCGTTGATTGTAATTCTTTTACTTTTTGGAGGGCTGTTCTGCTTCTGGTGATAGGCATTTCCATTGTGTTTGCTGCTACAGCCGCCATTGCCGCTGCTACTACGGTTAACATGGTCGGATATTTGCGTTTCGTAGCACCCATTGCTGCTATATCGCATAGACCGCTGTTTTCAGGGTTATAACAAACCCTCTTTCTAGTTGCTATCAGATCAAACATACAGCCCCACCCTATCGAAGACAAATGTGCATCAATGGGAGTCATATATTTTCATTTGACTTTGAAAATATAGTAGCAATTGCAGGCGACACTGTCTCACCGTACGGTATATAGAATTTTAACCGAAATGGTGATAGTACCAGTATCAGCTATTATTGAGACAACCGATACAGTTGGACCGCCCTGTTCATGTTCGCGCAGCGTATTATAATACTCATACATACCGATAAAGGGCGTAGTGAATGAGATTCGTCTTTGTACCGTTATCGCCACCATCAGCGGCGGCAGGCTCAGCGCGACGTCAGTTAAGCAGACGAGAGCGAGCCTGCCACAATAATCCATGAAATCGGAGCGAGAAAAAAGAGAAAGGACGCGCAAAATGAAGAGAGCAGGACGAAGATATAAAACGAATAGGAGTCGAGGTGTGTTAAAAGGAATAATCTATAGCCTGCGACAGGCTCACACCTCAGTGTCCTGTGAGAGAAAGGTCGAATTGAAAAGACGTGAATTTCAAATGTAAAATGTCTCTGTATATAACTAAAAGAACGGAAGGTGAAAAGGGGAAGCCTATAGGGAAGATCAGACGCAAAGTGGGTTTCTGGAAAATAAGTATAATAAATGATATTGACTCGTTTGAATTTGCTGGCATTACTCCCTATTCAGCTCGTATGTAGCACTACTGGTAGAAAATGGAAAGAAGATATCTGTACTCAATTGTATGGATTACATATTAATAGTATCACGTAGTTTTTTTTTTATTAATATTGCAATACAGACAATTATATAGCGTATATACCAATATATGTTGCGAAATCTCTGTGAATTCGCAGTGTTTTTAGCTGAAAGCTGAGCAAACTTACTAAGTCAGTTGAGCCCCGAAAACGGCCTCCGCACCGCAGACGGAACGTGTTCGCCAGCTAGAAAAAGATCGGTTTGTATCGGTACTTTAAATTAGCGTCAGTTCGGCCATTTTTAATTTGTCTCCAAACAATCAAATGAACCACAGCCATCTCCAGAGCTGGTGCCAGCTTCAGCTTTATCCTTTTAGAAATAAGCTAATCAGAGCGTCCGGTTAAACTTAAAAGCTATTGTACAGCTTGCGCAGTGACCAAGTTCATACCGGAAAATGCCTTGTTTCAAAAGCTTTTCAGGGTTTGACAAAAATGTTCCTTTTAGGTTAAAAACGAAAAACGATAAAACATATATAATACTGCCATAAGTGGATGAAAATTCTGAACAAATTACTGAATCATCATGACCTGCGCTCCGTATTATGTTCTCTGTTAATGTTTATATATATATATATATATATAATATATATATATATATATAGATTTACAATGTTGCAACGTAATTTGTCGTTTTTTACGATAGATTTTCTCTATTACGCTTTGTCCATATTAGAAGGCATATTGAAGCAAATAACATAGCGTAATACTGAGCTGTACGATCTAATCTTGCAACATAGAAAATAGATACTTGCCTTTAGACTCATCTGACATTTTTATTATTTGCTTGAATACATGTAATGATATTCAGTTAATGTAGCTGAGTTACAATTCCTTGCTATTTATTTATCCACCTCTGCGTCTACACATTTTCATCCCGAAATGTAATAGCATTGGCCAGCCTATACGTATAACTAACGAACTTCAAGTTAACTCTATAATCGGATCATTTTTTGCAGGCCTATGATGTTAAATTGGAGATCGACGCTTCTACACTTTCAACTGCTGCTATTTCTCCACTTAATCCTTCCCAGATTAACCACGGCAAACAAATTTCCACAAGACGAGCAGTATCGAAACCCACAGGCCGCATCTGAAGGTAGTCTTTTTTTTCTTATGTGTATATAACTTAGCGATTTGAATATACTCGCTTTGGGTCCGTTCAAGTAGCGAGATATAATAAATATAATAAAAACAAGATATTCAATAAAGTGTCGAAATTTCCCGCTTTGTACTTGGGTAGGTTTAAGATTGATTTTGTTATCATGCTACTAAATAGTACGAGATAAAGCGTGCCATATTTCAGTAGATGATGAAGGTCCGCTCGGTCAGCACAAAGCAACCTTGGGCTAAGGGAACCGCACTACATAAAAAGCAGATTAACTAGATGTTACACATATAGCTATATGTACATAGAACATGTTTTGAGAAAATATTCAATGCAAACAGGTCGTATTTGCTTGAAATGTAAACGCGTTTCCACAGGGAAAGCTTATAGGGATGGCGGGGGGTTCGGAACTGTTTCCCACAAAGTTGTTCCGACAAACGGGGGCAGACATTTTGAATTTTTAGCGGTTAGTGACTCACCTGGTCCTGAAGCTATCGACATAAGATGCCTTAATGTTAGAAAACCAAAACATTAAGGACCTATTGGCTCTTCTAAAAGTGCTGCTGGACAAAGGTATATTGGAACGACATGAACGCCGCTGAATCGGCATATGCGGATCTCGTTATATGGGAATGTCAAAGCAACAAATTAAAATCGTTAGAAAATTCTCGCTTATTTATGCTGGTAAAAAGACTCAGTCTCATCTAGTTATTTGGCAGTCAGTTAAAAACGTGATATTTTGCAATACAGTTTCTGATATCATGGCTTATACTTGACTATCTTTACTGAAGCGGTTACTATGCATCTACTTAAACTTATTATAAAGCACCTATCTTAAGTTCAGGTCTAACTTGCTAACGACGCATCATGCTTTGTCGATAGAAATCAGTTGGGAATTTGCGATCGCAATTCAGTTCAGCACGCCCTTTTTTTTTTTAGCTCTTTTGCGTTGAACTTAAGAAAAAATGTTGTTCTTTCACTATGACTTATAACACTTTTGCTACTAAAGAATGTAGACAATAAAACTCACTAGGTACCGACAGATTATTCCTAAGTTGTGTATATTAGAATATTAATAACAACCTATCGCGGTAAAATCCTGTGTTCCGTAGTGTCTATGCAAATAAGAAGTATAATGAAAAAATCAGATTATTCAAGTTTGGCTTAAACTTATTCGAATAGGGGGTGCCACTGTGAGACTGGCGCCCTTGAGCGGAGTACCGCAAACAATAATCCTCCTATCTGCACTTTTACCTTATGTAACGTTTGTCTACTGCTTATACGCGCTTGCTATAGATGGCTGATTGTCTGAATGATCCAAATACCCGACGGCAATATTCTGCCCGTGAAAATCAAAATACACAATAATCGAGATATATTCCAAAAGAAAGGGCAAGTGTTGTAAGCGGTAGCTTATATGGGTTAGTATGCCTAAAGCTTGTTTTCATAGGTCTAAAGCATCTCGCAATTCATAAATGTCCCATAACATTAACCGCACACTGCCCTTGCTTGTAGTACCATTTGTGTCTCATCAGCATGATCATATGGAAGTGTTTCCTCTTAGGGTCAATGCTTAGCGAACCTTTTTGGCCACCATCAGCCGTGTAGTCATTAGTATGACGGCCAAGAAAACTACCTTACGTGCCACATAATCTATAGATGCATTTTTTTTTGCTTCTGTGTAAAACCCAACAAGGCATCCATATAGGCATATCCGGCCATAAAATCTGTGTGATGACGCCATCTTTCGTTTAACATAAAAGCATTAGTCCGATACCAATAGCATGCAGCTCCCCTGCACACAATAAGTAGCTCATCGGAAGCTTCGCCATGTTGTTTATGGCACGAGGATGGGCAAACCCAACGGCCGATACCCTAAAAAGCACAGCACAAAACAATGACTTGCTGGGTCGATGTGTAGTATATCCGTTCTATATGCTAAGATTAGGTCCATCCGAGTTTGGTTCGGTTTAGGATCCGAGCGTGCAGCAGCTACTGGTGCGGAGGAACAGGAGTGTTGCTTCTTTTTTCTGACATTGCCTTGACGCGCGTTCGGCCCGCGCTGACGCAGTCATCCGGCCGTCTAATGCTGTGTATACTGTTCTCTGCATGTTAGAAACAGAGGGGAGGCCCTATCAAACGTACTACGAACGGCGACGGACGGACGTAGTAATGCGCGTACAGCAGTGTATTGGTATCACTATTATGAAATGCATCGTGTACTAACATTGTGCGAGGACACCGAGCCAACGAACATCTATGTACACATGACCATATCCCATCTGTTGTCGATGCGCGTCGACGACGAAACGAAGCAAACGTACGGAAGATACGGGGAAAATGTAGGGGACATAAATAGTCTTGCCACGAAGCTTTTACCAAACACGCCTAGCACCCAACAGCATCGTTGGCACATCGTTTGAGAAGCGGTACGTTAAAATAGCGGAAAAATAAGGCATCGAGATTTCCCCATTTCTGTTTCGGCTCTTTGTCTTCGTGTTATGCTTGAAATCGTTAGCTTTGTGCTATCGCATTGCACTACATTACAATTTTCTGCCGTAGACTATGTAGGCATGTGCATTTACCTGTCCTCTGATTTCTGAGTGTCAGAAGCGATGCCTCGATATCTCATAACTCACTCGGCATCCCTGACCCTGTGGAAGCAGAAATGATGATGAACAATTGTCTGTTTAGCCATCTCTGAAAAGGGCCTATTTAATATACCCTGTGAGCCCAGGAACACTGTAGGTCAACTAGCCCAGTATAAATTGGTTAACTGTTGAATCCTCGTACTTCATCTAATTTTTAAATGGGTAAATTTCATTTGCCGCTCCACTAGACGCCTGCACTTGTTTACCGGCTAACTTCAATCGAGCTGTTTAAGGTTACAAAATTTTCATATCAACTGATAAAAAAAAATCATGTATTTAATATCCGAGCTCTTATATATTTCTTCAATTTTGTGGGTAGGACTTTATTTACTATCCTAGCTTTACTGCAATCTGGAGGGCCTAAGTGAATAGCCAATGAAAAGTATACACGTCGGTGAGAATGAATGATAATAGGTTTTTGAAGGATGATAATGGTCCAATTTAGAGCGATCGTGTAAAGCGCTTCATTTTTTTGTGCCATTTCTAATGGCTTTCTTAAAACTCGACCTTAATAAGGCCGCCTTGTTCCGATGGCGGTAACAATACTGCGTTACACATTGATGAGCCGAATCCGTCCTAATTGGAACGTAGAAAAAATGAATGCTTAATTTCGAAAAATAATAAGATAAGTGTGTATCCGCTAATATTAGTCGGAACTAATATCCGCTGCTTAAACTGGAATGACTCTAAATGACAATTAAAAACCATATTTTCATATACCGGTGTGCATAAGCGCTACTGCGCGTCTAAGTGTTGCGAAAAGCAAACTTTATTGTTTATTTAAAAATGGCTATTTTAATTTACATGAGCACTTAAGAATGTGCTGGCCATGTTCTATATCTAAGTGAACAAACTGTGACTTTCGAAACATGTTCACGACGATCCGAGATCTATATTAAATCGCGGAAGTATGCAAGATAAACATACATGCATAGGTCACAACTGGACCTGATCCCAATCCCAGAACCCCATCCCAAGGTTCGAAAAATCAAACGACATTATTTCCATCAGTGAATGGGCGTGAATCTTTTATTAGCGCACTCGCTTCAATCCACTCAAGTATATTAATTGTGTCCGCGTCAGGTCTCGCTAAGGTTCCAGTCGGATTCCGGAGCAGTACAGTTCAAATGAGCATTACCTCTTTATCAACCGAGCAGTGGATGGCAAGGATTTCTAGTGACCTTCTTTGCTGGATCCTTTTTGGCGATATGGCTTTTAATGCCAAAGGCAAGTAAGTCTCAGTAGACTTTTCTTAAATTCACAAGGCTGACCTTCGGGAAAAAATAGGATGTATCCAACTCCTATCTGAAACTAGGGCCAGTATGATTTCTTGATGAACTTGTCTCATCTCTTGTACATACGCTGTTGCGCCTACCAAATATCTATTTCTCAAATAGGCATAGCCCTGTGTTATGATTGCAGTCTTCTAAGTGAATCCATAATAGCTTTTTGAAAACACATCGCTCTGCGAGGTTTGCTACCTTAAGTGCTCCCTTAACTCTATCTACTAAATCATATGATGTAATTCGTTATCGCGAAAACGACAGGGATCTACCTTCTAAGCTGCGGTGTAGCTAATGGCGCTGCAAGGAACTGATTTTCAACCCACCCAAATTTCCCCCAAATCACACGCATCGTCTCCTAAGCTACCCAAGCAATCGTGAGACTCGTCGTTTCCCCCTATAGTTTCCTCTGTGGTTAGTAATTCTCAATGTGCAACCCAAATAAGTAAAGAATTTACTGGCTATGCCGACAGTCAGCCTTCGTTCTTTGTCCACGTTTAACACTCATTTACCTGATTCCGTTGTTAATACTGCCTAAACCTTGTCAGCGTCGCCATTCGTCTACCGCGATTCCTGTTGCCGTTGCTTCAGTCTAGATCTTCCGCCTTTACACTCATAGTAATGCACATGAGCTACAGCAGGCCTAACTACTGACGCTGCCTGCTTTCTTGTCTGAACACGCAACCAGCGAGGCAGGTCAGCCATCAGGTCATGTCTCTCTGAGTTCGGCGCACTCGGAGGGCCGATAAATTGAGCAGGTGGTCTCACTTTAGCTGTCCGGGGCTGCTGCTTCAGCCGTAGAAAACAGCACGTGAAAGCTGACAATGCCACTCAACGCTTCTCTTCCTACTGTGATGGCAAGCGGTGGCAGATATCCCCAGAGACCGTCATGCGCTCTTTTAGGAGCTGACGTACGCTAGGCGCGTAGGCGAACGTAGGCCAGCAGTACTGTTTGCGTCCAGCAACCAGTGTGCAGCAAGTCTAAGTATGGCCTTCTCCGGGTCCTCGACATAATTCGTAGATCCCGCGCGCGCCTCTACACACTTCCTAACAATTT